AAACCCTGCACCCAAAACCCCTAAACCCTGACCCCTAACCCCTACATCCCTACAGCCCTAAGCCCCTAAGCCCCTAAGCCCTAAGCCCTAAGCCCTGAACGCAAAACTCCTAAACCCCTAAGCCCCTAAGCCCTAAGCCCCTAAGCCCTAAACCCCAAACTCTCGGACTTTTCTGTTTGAGGGTTTCCCTGCTGCGGCTTCGGGTCGGGTTTATGGGGTTTAGGTTCATAGGCTTGAGGGTTCAGGGTTTAGGGTTTAGGGTTTAAAGGGTTTAGCATTTCGGGTTTAGGGTTTACAGGGTTTGGGTTTATAGCGTTTAGGGTTAGGGCAAGACTTGTTCAGAAAGTTCAATGCTCTCAGTCATTCCACGAGGGAGGTGGATGGGAAATCGCACCTGTTTTATGAATCCACTGGAGCTACAGCTAGCTAGCCCCAAAACCCAAGGTGCAAACACACACACACACAAATAAAATGGCATAGTTTAGAAGCCTAGTTGATGAGCAATATTACTGTTAGAGTTCCTTGTTAGATCTACAGTATAATATACCGCAAACTTTCAGTCTAATTATTAAACCCCTCAGGAACCCCTTTAAGCCGAGTGTATGTGCACTTAGAGAAAGTTGATAAAGACGACAAGTAACCCCTACATACAAGAAGATCTCAAGCCAAAAATCCTCAAGCCTCAGTTCATCCCTAAATTCCAAACCCCAGACCCTATACACAAAATCCTATTTCGAATATCTTTGCAAGGTCACGCCCGATATGGCCCTGCGAGGGACTCGGCCGATCTGGAGTCGTTTATTCATCGTGGCACACTGTCGGGCTTAGGGCCAAATTAGAGGATTGTTCAATCCGGTGTCTCCTGAAAATCAGGGTTCTGGCGTTCCTAATTCAACGGGCTTTGGGTCTACTATCATGTATTTATCATGGGGAGTCAGAATAAGCGAATAATATTATATGCAGATGATCTAGGCTTCTACATTTTCCACAGTCAGCACTAATTAGGGAGAATTCAGGTTGGACTTGGGAGCTTACATTGGGATCTGTGTCACTTCATGGCCCCGTCTTTGTGGCCCAGGGTCCAACCATGCCTCTTTGCGTTGATTGGACACATGGACGCAGCTTGCACGGTACATGTGCTCGTGACTAATCTCTAAGAGCCCTATCTTGGAGTCCTGACTGGGCCACTCTTACCCCCCTACCCTAAACCCTAAACCCTATAGTTGCTAAGTCACAGAGGTCCTCTAAAAAAGAACTCGGAAGGTTTCCAACTGCCAGCTTCCGGGAGTCGCTACATCTAAAAAACCCGACCCCACGACGGCTTATTCAAAGACACTGGCAGAATATGGGATGTCCGAGTACCCTAAATGGTAGAATATTCATCCTTATTATAAGGGCCCCGAAAGAAGGTGTCCCGTATTTTCGGAAACTCCCATATTCCTTAGCTAAGTTGTCTCTAGCGCGCGGCATCCTAAACCATGAGGTCCGGACCAACCTCAAGCCCAATACGGCAGTACGTCAGGACTTGGAGGATCATGGGACTTAGAACTGAGGCTACAAATAATACAAGGGTTTAGGGTTTAGGGTTTAGGGTTTAGGGTCATAAGGTAACTCACGGTAACCATAGTTATAGTTGCTCATAGCCCCAGTTAGGGTGCCTGCAAGCTTACTTACTAAGTTCCCTGATCCTCCAAGTAGGTTGGCCCTGCCCCCCTCAGGTTTCAATGAGCAAGGAGCCAAAGTAAATGTGCCCATGGGGTTAAGGGTTTAGGAGGGTCGTATCACTTTTTGATGGTACATTGGTTACTCTGATAAGTAGCTTGTAGGTTTTTTCGGAGCTTTAGCCCAGCGAGAACCCTCCAGAAGGTGCGGGTTCGCTTCCGTGGCTGACATGCTGAAGGCGCGGCGCCGTTGCTGTTGTGTGCAGGATTTTGTCGGTGGTATGCGGTGATCGCGGGTGAGTGCATATTTGTGCTCCGGAGCCCTCTAAGCCCCTAAACCTGAACCCTGAGCTCTCGTATGTAATATGGGAGCCTTAACGAATTACCAATACTAGTTTTGGGGGTTCCTTATTCTAATTGTAGCATGATAGGCCCCCCAACCCTGTTCTAATTATTAAGGCCCCTCTATTTGTGGTAGGGGACTGCGAAGACTTCCTAGGCTAATGACTGTTGATGATTTAAATCCTGCATTACCAAGGACCCTAAAGTATGGGAATTATGGCATATTCCCTAGTATGGGTCATCCGAATCACCGGAATATTCCTTGCTCAAGCGTGGATGGAGCTATTATCTCGGCTCTAAGTTTTATAACCATCAAGATTTTGCGAGGAGAACGGTCTTCGGACGTCGGATGTAAAGAGATATGTCAGGGTTTAGAGCATATACTCCCAGGTAGTTTCTGGGAAACCGCGCAACGGGGACCCTTTTGAACCCTACTTCTGGCTCTCTGAGAAGGGTCCTCATTGAGAGGGTCTATGTCTCCAAGGCTCCCCCTAATCCTAACTCCCATATGCTTAGATGATCCTACGACTTGTTATTTGGGGTCATAAACAAGGTAACTATAGCTACCAGCTGTAACCGGACTTACTACGTCCCCGGATCCTACAAGTACTTAAAGGTTCATGGGACTTAGGAACTAGGGTTTGATTTAAGGTAACTAGACTCATAAATACTTATAACCCCAAGTAGGGTACTTTTAACCTTACTTACTAAGTCTCCTGATCCTACAGGTCGAGTTGAAGGCTTTGTGGCTTGTTGCTGTGGGATGTGGGAGTTTAGTTTTCCTGTGGGGTCCATGCCGGACCATGAAACCACAATGCTTCCAAAGCACGCCTGCGCTAGCCCACTGCACCTTTTGGGTTCTCATCTTGGTGCATGGGGCTGGAGGGCGGGATGGATTGGATGGGATGGGATGGTTGATGGTGGCACTTCTGCATTGGAGCTTAGCAGAACAAACTTACTAGTGCTTTGGGGTTTTGCGGATGAGAGGTGCCTAAGCCAACTTTGAACAAGGCCCCTCCCTAAAACCGAACCCCTAACTTCAACCCCAAGCCCTCTTATAGGATCTCCCATAAACCCGCGGTTGAGGCAGAGTCGGAGGTGGCTCGCTTGGACCCGGAGGCGCTAGAGCCCTGCCACTCCTACGATTATCAAGTTTGTAGGGCCTGGGGTCTGGTTGGGAGAGTAATCCCAAATATTTCTTATAATGGTTTAGGGTTTAGGGTTTAGGGTTTAGGGTTTAGGGTTTAGGGTTTAAGGTTATAAGGGATCCTTAACCTTACCTAAGGCCCCTGATATCACCATCGCGGATCATTACGGCCTATGCTGCTGCAGTTATCGTTGTTGCTACCGCTGCCACGATGATGATAACTTTGATGATGATGGTAATGATGATGCCGATGATGGTCACTGCAATGATGCCTGTGATGGTGAGTGTCTGACAACTGTAAAATTTGCGGTTATTGCAGTTTGTGT